TCTACATTAACTGTTCCCTCCTGGTGGAATGACCTGCCCAGCTCAATCCAAGCAGCTGAGTCCTTAATATTTTCAAGAAATGGCTGAAAACACATCTCTTTCATCTTCATTTGACCCTCTAACTCTAGCACTCTCTATTCTAATGCTACTTCTAATTTTATCTGCTTGTTTTTTTTAATTAAAAAACTTGACCCTCTAACATTCGCACTCTCTATTCTATTTCTATTCTAACTACCGTTTTATTTATAATGAAAAAAAAGCCTCTAACACTAGCATTCTCTATTCTTTCTTTATTTTCTTTTTATTTATTATAATTAATGACCTTCTAACACTAGCATTATGTTCTTTTTCTGTTCTATTGAATGGTTTTATTTTTATTTAAAAATGACCCTCTAACACTAGTATTCCCTATTCTTTTTCTATTCTTTCTACTTGTTTTCTTTTTATTTATTATAAAAACAAAATAAGCAAACAAACAAAAAAAAACCTTGCTACGTATACTGTTAGGTGAAGCCCCGCCCCCTACTGTACTTTTTTTGGAAAACTAAAATATGGTCACCCTATTATAAATACTTAATTATTATGAAAATACCCGAGATGGCTTAAATAACACAGATAAACTATATTGTCGCAGTCGAGTGTTTATTGTCTTTGTTTTATCATTCAAAACATTTATATGTTCTGGTTACTCAGTTACAGCTATAATAGGGATGCCTTTGTCCATATAAGGGATTTCCTGGAGGGTCATGAGTTCTCTACTTCTGTGACTGGATATGTGGATTTTCTGTGCGAGGGCGCCCTCTGGCGTCCAGTATGAATGAAACAGACATCATGTGTTTATAGTGCTAATGGCCAATCCATCATTTTTGGGGGGGACTTTTTATTTATTTGTTTTTTAATAAGTATCGGTTCAGGCACCGGAACCGTTTTAAAAGTATTGATTTGGCACCGGTATCGAAAAAAATCCAAACAATACCCAACCTTAGCAGCACAGCAAAAATAGACTCGATGCGAAAACGATCGCTGCACTGCTGCAACGCACTGGCGGACCGCAACCACGTGCAGTGTGAACGCTCTAATCAGTTAACGCGACGCAAACGGAGTATGTGGCGTCAGAGAGGGTGTTCTCCGTGCGGCCGGATTAATTGTGAACAGTTTGCGCTCCCGTCTTCATCCTGAACATGTGGACATGCTCATTTTTTTAATAAAAATATGAGATAGGTTATTGTTATGAAGACAGACGTTAAAATTAATGTTCACATAAGTGCCGTCATTCAGGCAGTTTATAATATGTTTTAAAGCGTTTAGACCTAGCCCAAAGTCATTATGGCCTGAGGTAATATTCATGGATGAATTAATCAAACGGTTTTCTTTTCTTTTTTTTTATTGCTATGAATGTTCATGCTCCTTTTTGAAATGTATATGCCCTAGCCTTATGAGCAGTTGATTTATGCTAATCGACGGACTGTTATGTTAATAAGTGCTGTCATTCGGTTAGGTTTATTATATTAATACGTTTCAGCGTTACAATCATGGCTTGAGTAAAGACAGCCTATTCCCTAATGAATGAAACAGTTTGTTATCATACAGATTGAAAGCGTGAATGTCTCTCTCCCTTTCTCTCTCTGTTTATGGGTGTGCAGCCTATACATGCGTGCGTGCATGTGGGGGAGGGGTGCGATTAATCGATTAATACCCAGCGATCATCGAATATAATTTTTGCTTGAAATGCCTGTCCCTAGTACATATATACCATATAGTGCTAGAAATAAAGATTAATAATTGCTACCCACCACCAACTGTTTGTCTGTGATCTGAAGTACATCCACTAGCTCCTCTATAAGCCCATTGTAGAGTATGCTATTGGCTGACTCCTGGAGGGCGTTGGAGTACACTGCAAAAAAATAACCACACATAACATCAACCTCACCAGACAGAAAGCGAGAACCTAGTACTGTTTCATGAAAATAAATACCTGTACTTATTTTGGTCAGTACAAGAGGGGTCAACTCACCAAGTATGGAGATGGCATGCAGCCTGGCTTGCACAGCCTGCAGTCTCCTCTTGTGGTTGGAGAAGCCATGAGCCAGGCGAATGTGTGTGAAAAGCAATATTTGTTTGTCTTTAGTGATGTTGTACATAGCCGTCAGAGACTCCATGATCTCTGAGGGGCTCTCAGAAATCTGAGGGCACACCGGGGAAAAGCAAAAATCAGATTCAAGTGTAATCAATAGCTATTAAAGGTCTATGCTTTTCCATGAACTGTTCCACAAGGACAGCAAATGAAAACAACTAGGGGAACTCACCTTATCAAGTTGTTCGATATGAATGTAGTGTAGCGTATTACTGCTCGACTGCAAAAAGGTACAACAAAGGTTAAATACAAAGAAATGAATTGTTTGCTTAAAAAAAGAGCAATGTTTTAATGAGAATGGCAAAATAAAGGCAAGCATACCTTTTTCTCCACTTTGACATCAGAGCTGGGTTCTGCATAGAACTCAAAGTGCAATGTGGTGGCACTCGGTGGATATTTCTGCATAACACAAATATACACACATCAGAAAAGAAAAAAAAAAAACTTGCAAATTGCAGGACTAAACAAGGAGGGCCTGGTTAGTACTTGTCCTGTCAATTTTTCACTTGCCTCACCAAAGATATGATAAATAGACGTTTTAGTAACATTTAAATGTGCCATAAAATTATTTTTATTTAATTACAAGTTTTCTTTACAAAAAAAGTGAATAAAACTCTGTAAAAGCAATACATTATTAAAGGCACTTTAAAACAATACTATAGATTGTGATATTACTGATTTAATATTTTACTTAATATTTACCATTTCAGAACTGAATTTTGTATAATATCCAACTGATTATAACCAACACTCCTTTTAATTACTTTACCTTAGAGACATTTTAATCCAAGAAAATTATAACTCCTAAAATGTAACTGTTATGAATTAGAAAGTCACGTAAGTTTGCATTAAATACATACATGATTGTGGACATGGGATTTAGTAACAATGCAACACTGGTCCGATAGGGCAAGTTAGGGTTTTGCCAACTGGCCCAAAACATTCTCAACCTAGCCCTCACCCATCCCTACTACTTAACCATGAATAACTTAATGGCACTCACACACAACTCAAAATGTGTCACCTCACTGCTGCAAATATAGCATTTCTTTCTCTTTTCAAAGTGACATAGTATAATATGTAATAGAACAAAACAGCATACCGACATCGGCAGATCTCTGCAACATTCTGCAAGACCAAACCCATTCTCTTTCCCACCCCAGCTCTAGGACAGCAGAAATAAAAGAGTCAGGAAAATGTGTAGGATGAAAGATAACAAGCAACAGCCTTGAAATGTCACCATGAAAGCACCTGTCTGTACAAAACCAGGTCATCACGGTGCTTTGGTTAGAACTGATACTAAACAACTAAAACTAATTTCAACAAGGATTCAAAAGTTCACACTAGAATCAAAGATGCAAGTCATGGATTAAACTTTTAAAATTGTCAAAGGTGTTTGTAAAACACTGCATGCTGCTGCTGCAGCATTAGCCACATATATGCTTTCAGACTTGGCATTTCAATTTTCTAGACTTCAGCAATCAAAACTGAGAAAAGAAATATGATGATGTGACTAAAAGTAAAGCTTTCATACCTCAGCCAGATGTTGCAGACGGGCGAGTAGTGGGCTCCTCTTATCTGAGCCCAGTCTGGTGATGTAGTTGGAACGTTTGCTGAACACATACAGGAGATTCAGCACAGACAGAACCACCTGCATGTCACATGATGCTAGAAGGGTGGTCAAGTGCTACAGACACAAAAAAGAGAAAAGCAAATGCTCAAAATCAACTCATGACAAACCATTTAAGGCTAACAGAAGCAGGTTTTGTTGTATCGGTCCAGAGTTGTGGTACCTCTATAGAGCTGTACAGGTGTCTTGAAAAACTGTATTCGATTAACAGCGCGGTGAAGTTGAGCACCGCCAGCAATAAGGCTTTTAGCTGCCCATTCTCTGGCCGGTCGCACACCAACAACCACGACATGTTCTCCACTGTCTGCCCTGCATCACAGAGGATGCCATCGAAACGGTCCAGCAGGTCTACCCAATGATACAACTCACACTGTGAAAAGAAACAGGTCATCATTAGAGATCTGAACATGCATATTAAACACAATATGATGCTAGGGTTGTTGCCATATACCTTGCCAATGTTCCAGGTCTTGATTTGCTGCAGTTCCAGCAACAGCTGTTCATCGCTGCATCCTTTCAGCTTCTCTATGAGAGTCCTGCAGTCAGCAGGCTGGAAGAGGAGTGCAAAAACATGTCAACCATGAGGAAACATGCGCTCACAAACTCAAATACTCCAAATGCACAGAAATCCTGTTTACTGACCGCTTCAGTGGGGGTTTTCTTCAATTTGCTTCTGTCAACCTTCATGGTCACTAATTTCTACACTCGATTCCTACAAAGAACACATCAAATCATGAGAGAGAAGCTCAGTCAAATGAACAGTGAATAATACTCATCTACATGCCACCATATGATATTTAAGCTTAGCGCTGCTACAGTATCACATGAAAAAAGGAATTTTCACACTTAAAAAGTTAACCCTGGCTCATTCTAAACCTGGGTAAACAAAATCCTAGGTTATCTTGTTTTATGTTTTACACATACTCATACTTTACCCGAAGTTAAAAGTTCATTCTGTGTTTTCATAACATGACATTTCACACTGTACATTCCTAAACCCTGTATTTATGTACTTATTAGCAATGTCAGTGTCACCAATTAGACAAAAACAGCACACAACCTGTTTACATAAATCGCGCATTGTGAATCCTCAAATTATATATTGCCGACTGTACTATCAAGTTTTTCCTGAATGGACTTTTCAGAATATAAAAGTAAGATTGAAATGCACTCTTTGACACACTGACACATTTTCTGTCACCATTTGACATTTCCCCCACCGACAAACTACTGTTTATACAACACTCAGTGTTTTTCTGTGACTGTCTAAAGCATGTGAGGCACGAGATGCTTGTTGCTAAGCATGTAACCGTAACATTCTAACACCACAACAGTTCACACTGCACAAGCTTGGCACCACAAAAGTGGCCCCTTCCCTGCTCCTAAATAAGTGTGAAACACACCTTCACCTAGGGTTAAGTGGGGTTTAGAATGCAGATAACCCAGGGTTAAGCGCAGTGTGAAAAGCCCTTATGAGGTGTACAAGCAGATAACCTTTCAAATTAATCAAAGAACTTACGGTATATGATTTGGCAATTCCAACTTAACGTCATTTTTCATGTGCAAATCCTAAAGTAAAAAAGATAAATGAAAGTGAAACAATTCCCAAGAATGAACATAAGAAGTTTTGTGATATTGCTGCCAAAAACACAAACTCTCAGAAGGCATTAATGTAAAACTCTATATGTCAAAAAACTATTTCTTCTAAATGGTCACAAACAATCCCATACTAATTAGCTGTAGAATAAAAATCAAGGTCGGTGGAAAGAAAACAGAAGTCTGAGAGCAAGCCAAGTGAAAAGCAACCCACACTGGTTCAGATATGGGGCACAGATAATCCCATCTCACAAACACGTCCTTACTGAACTCAACCCAATAATTTGCTCTTCTGAAACAAGAGGCTGTTAATGTAGCGTTCTTAGAACGGCAATCACTCCTTCTGAGAAACAAAACTCATTTAGGACCTTGAACCCGGTCAAAGAGAAGCACCGGCCGGTGATCAAGGAACCTGACATGGAAAAACGAGCAAGCACATTTCACAAAAACTTTATCTAGTTAAGCCATTTAAACGTAAGTGTAATTACTAAAGAAATAAGCTAATTCAGTTCTTGACAGAGAACCAAACTGTGCTGTAGTCGAGAAAACAACACAGCAGCTAGTTACCGAATACCAAAAATTACAATGACATTAGCTAACCAGAGCTTTCACCATAAACGAAACTATAACACCGTAAACAAACAAAATTAAGTACAATTGAAAGTAACACAGCCAATCTGGAAATAAATCAATAACTCGACATGTCCATTTCATTAACTATTTCTAACGAAAACAAGACAGCAAACGCAGTTCAATTTGAGGAAAAGGCAGCTAACATGCTAACGTTAGCTATTTTTACCGTGCTAACGAGCTACCTTAGTCAGCAAGCTAAGTATTGCTGTTAAACATAGTCACGTCATTCCTATTAAATGCCGCAAACAAAACACAATGATCGCCAGTTTTTGAATAAACTGTAAAGGAATTACCATAAGCGGACTGTGGGGAAATTGACCGTTAGCAGCTCGCGAGCTACGAGGCGCTAAACATATAATTCCCCTCAACATGTCAACACAAACCCGCAATCCCTCAACTCACTGTTAAAATCTCATTCAAAACCCCTCTTTTCAAACAAACTCTCGCCAAATCCTTAATATAACGCTCGACTGTGGCGGAATACGTCAGGAGCGAAGCTACACGGGTCCATATTTTTCCTCCAAGCTGCACACATGCTCTGGTCTAATCTAGAGCCCGGCTCAGGCGGGCCTGCTCCGGCAAACCCACTCACTCCCCTCAGAACTCTAGCTCACAAAAACGCAGTCCGTCAAAGCGCTTACACGCCGACACACACGTACCGTAACGTATTATATTATCACACATTTTCAGCAAGAGCTTCGTCTCGATGAACTGTGGCCGGTGAAGCGTGCGCGGTGGCGACTGATGAGATGCTCGTGAGTGCGTTGGTTTGCTTGGTTAGCTTAGAAACGCAGAATATCTCGCTGAATCATTCCCCACTCGGGCCTACCATAACACTGACTTCCAGTGGACGGCTCAATTTCTCACTTTTTACTGCTGCACTTCTGCGTAGCTGCATTTGGGGCGAACGTAGCGTGTCACACATGATGCTAGTCTACTTTATCAAATAAAAAATACATTTATCTGAAATAATACTTATAAGTATTAAATATTGAAGGATAAAGTTGAGATATGATGGAATTCATCAGCCTAACTTTAATTTAAAGTGAATACATTTTGCAATCAATCAGTCTGGATATTTTTTGTTAATGCACTACATTAAGAGATAATGAACCATGTGAAGAAATGGTATGAAATATATATTTCCCAAATATAAATTATATTCATTCTAATATTGTTTAACTTAATAAATAACTTGAAACTGAATTGATTAAACTTATGGAATGACTATTATTTACTCATTCATTGTACACAGTTGTTATACACTGTACTGTAGTTTGGAATTAACAGGCTTCATTCCTGTCATCAGCAACAGTTTAAACCATAATACATGATGTTTGGGGGTCACTTTACATCAGTTAGGGTCAGTTTGGTTACACTGACCCATATTATCCATCAGCAGTAATCTCTATAATAGATCATATGAGACAGATTTCTGGGGGTGCATTGGGGAATATAAACAGTTCTTTACATTATAACTGGACAACATAACAGATTACTGAAGATG